TTTTTTTTTTTTTTTTCTTGGAGAAATATTAGCTATGGGGCACATGTGCTCGCTGGAGAGACATACAGAAAGTGAGAAATCACCCCCCAGAGCAGATGGCCATCCTGCAATCCCTTCTCTTTCATTCTTTTCTTGGGATTTTGGGCGCATGTGCCTGGCATGAGTTTTAAGCCGCCGAGGCTAAGACTCAAACCATAGTTGCGGCCTCTCACCCTCGCCATCCTCTCCTGTGCCTGCACCACGTAGGCTGCCACCTCCCACCCCACTCCCTGCACACACCCAGCCCTGCGACCCCCACCTGCAGCCTGGGCACTCCCCCCTTTGTAAAATTTAAAGGAGGCACAGCATAAACGCTTCCCGCCTTTTGCCCCTTCAGGGGTCCCCCGCCCAAAGGTACCCCGCTGCTGAAGAACATGGCGAGGGTGGAGCAGGTACTGAGCCTCGAGCCCCAGAACAAGCTCAAATTCCAAGGTCCCTTCACTGATGTCACCACCAACCTAAAGCTTGGCCACCCAACAGACCGGGACGTATGTTTCAGAGTGGAGACCACGGCGCTGCGCATGCACTGCATGAGGCCCGACAGCAGGGTCGTCCACGTAGGGGCCTCCGTCAACATGTCTGTGATTTCCAGCCTTTTGATTATGACCCCAGTGAGAAAAGTAAGCACAAGTTTACGGTTCAGTCTTCGTTGGCTCCGACGGACACTTCTGACATGGAAGCAGTATGGGAGGAAGCGAAACCGGAAGACCTTGTGGATTCAGAACTTAGATGTGTGTTGGAGTTGGCAGCAGAAAGCGAGTGGCCACATGATGGAGAAATAAGCAAACTTAGAGACCAGCAGTTGCCGTAATGGCTATGTCGCTGGACTCCCATGTAGTTGACCATGGTTTGAGTCCCGGACCCGGTGGCTTAAACTCACGCCAGGGGCATATGTATGCGTGCCCAAGATCCCGAGGAGAATGGAGGAGAAGGGATTGCAGCGTGGCCACCCGCCCTGGGGGTGAGTTCTCGCTTTCTATCTCTCTGTCTCTCTCTTGACTTTCTGGGCGCGTGCACGTGCCCTATAGCAAAAACCTCTCCGAAAAAAAAGAAAAAAAAAGAAACTTATATCCACAACTGCGGCAAAGACAGACGCAGCGGCCATGTCTAAATCCCTGAGCCCTTCTCTGGGTGACCTTCACCGAGGTGAAGGAGGTGATGGGAGAGGGCAGGAGGCTGCAGGGGGAGGCTCAGCGCCTCCAGGAGCAGAACAAGCAGTTCAAGGAGGACGATGGACTTAGGCTGAAGAAGACGCTCCGGAGCAGCAGCCCCATCTCGGCGTTGGCCACCACCGGGAGGGAGGAGGCCTCAGCACCCGGCTGCTCGCTCTGGTGGTTTTGTTCTTCATCTCGGCATCCTAATAGGGAGGACCGCTCTGTGGAGGCAGCGTGCAGAGGAGGGTGAATTGGATTGAGGGAGCCACCGTGTCACGGGCTTGAAATGTATCATAAGCATGCGTAAAAGGAAATTAATGTGCGATCACATCTCACAGGTCTTGCCTTTGAATTCCCGTCCCTGCATACACACGAGTACACACACACACACACGCGCACAAATATATCAATCTTATTTTTTTAAATAATTATTTATTTTATTTATTCATTCATTTATTTTTTAATTTGACCAGAGAGAGACAGAGGTTGAGAGTGAAAGAAAGATGAAGTGAGAAAGCAAGCCACCAGATTCAGGACTTGTACCCTGGTTGGCCATGTGGGAGTCCAGTGCCTTAACCACCACGCCACCTGCTGGTCCCCAAATATATCAATCTTTTAGAAAGTTAAACACGTATAGCAATTGGGGGAAAGAATGATCTCTATTAATGACGAGGGAAACCGGGATTCTTGCCACAAGGCATGTCGTCGGGTCATAGACAGGTAGGCCTCAGTACATGTTGCTGGATTACCTCTCCTAAAACAAGACACTTTGTCACTCGGCAGTGCTGGCCCGTGGGGAGCTGGCGCCTGGCACGGCAAGGAGTGCAGACACCTCCCCACAGTCACCCCATGCTGCCTGCTTTCTCCCTTGGCTGCTCGTCCTGTCACTTCCCAAGCCCTCGGTCCTTGGGACTGATGAACAGAGTCAGGAGCCAGAAAGAGTGGCACTGGTAGGGACCAACGTGTTCCTCAGGAAGGAGAGGAGAGGCGGATGTCGGCTGGTTGACCCCACACTCTGGAAATCAGTCAATGGTTTGTTCTCTCAAAGGGACCACGCCAGGAGCCAGCAGGTGGCTTGGTAGGTAAGAACGCTGGACTCCCACATAGTCAATCATGGTTCAAGTCCTGGACCTGGTGGCTTCCTTTTTCACTTTCTCTCTCTCTCTCTCTAGTCAAATTAAAAAATAATGACAATTGGGGCCAGCAGTTAGCATAATGGCTATGTTGCTGGACTCCCATGTAGTCGACCGCGGTTCGCGTCCCGGACCCGGTGGCTTAAAACTCATGCTGGGTGCCCTATAGCAAAAACCTCTCAAAAAAAAAAAAAGACAATAAAGTTGAATAAAATAATTATTTAAAAATATTAAAAAATAAATAATTTTAAAAAATTAGGCCCTGGGCCTGCGAATGGCATAGCGGTTAAGGCAGCTGGATTCCACATGGTCGACTGTGTGGTTTGAGTCCCAGACCCAGCGGCTTGAAAAACAGGCGCATGTACATGCATGTCCCAAATCCCGAGAGAATGGGGGAGAAGGGATTGCAGTATGGCCATTCTCCTTGGGGGAGGGGGGTGCCTTCTCACGTTCCTCCTCTGTCTCCTGGGTGAGGGTGCATGTGTCCTGTAACAAAAACAAAAAAGTAAGAAACCGCAGAAAGGTAAAGGGTGACGAATTCTGGTGAGCACACTCACCCTCTGGCAAAATTCACAGAAAGGAAGAAGTGGGGAGGGGGGTGGGATCAGGTGACACTGATGACTTCCGGAAGAAAGGCCGAAGGAGGGGTTC